CCCCCCGCCCCACTGGTCAATGGTGTTCTGCTTTACCAAGGCTAGAATCTGGCACCTTAATTTACAGATGATGCCAGCGTAACCTCTAAGATGTTGGGAGGTCCTGAGGAGGGTGCCTCTTCAAGGGACACAGACGTGACTTTGGGTCCCAGGTCCCTGGCACAAGGAGACCACCTCAGCGTCCTCTTGCTTTGAAGCCAGGGCCTTGAGAACCCCTGGGACCAACAGGGGAGCTGGAGACATGGACAGGGAATCGCCAAAGATGGATTCTTGTCTAACCATATTCAGAGTAGGTCCATGGTGCCACCATGGCTGTGAGAGCAAGGGGTTTGCATCCGGCTGCTTCCTTGCTGTTTGTGTTCATGGAAACGGCGCCTGTGTCAACTCCCACCGAGCGATTCCCTAGAACGTGTCCTCACTGGGGCCTGCACTACACTGCAGCTCTCAGCATACCTGCTGACAAGTGCACGGGGGCTTTAACGAGTGATCACAGGACAGGTGTGTGATGGTAGGGAAAAGGCTCTCGAGGAACAGGGACAAGACAAATATATATATATATATATATATAAAATGAGAGGACATTAGTCGTGCTGAGGATGGTGGGGGTAGACTTTTTGCAGCTCTCAAGGGCATGGTGCTCTCAAGGGCATGGTGGCCAGCTCAAGGGATATGTGGGCTAGAAGGAGGCTGGCATTAGGGAGGTGAGGACTCTCCAGGCAGACAACAAAGGTGACAGAAAGAAGTAAGAGCCCTTGAGGGAATGGAAGGAGGTGGGTGCAACTGGACGATGGAGAGTGACGAGGTGTGGACAGGCTGAGACTAGTCACGAGGGACCCGGCGGGCCGGCATGGTGCTAGAGCGTCGGTGCTCTCGTTCTAAGAATGATGGGAATGTCTCAGCAGAGTGTGATCCACAGGCTTGGTGGGTAGAGAATGGCTGGAAGGGCTGTCTCAGTAACTCAGGAGACGTAGGACCGAGAATGAGGCTCAGCACCTGCAGCTCCACTGAGGCCCCATGGTTGCCCTATTTTCCCCGACTCTCCTCTGAAAGCCTTCACTCCAAGGAAGTGGGCTGTCTCAGTATGAAGCCCAACTTTCCTGGGAAGCTCCGGTTTTCTCAGCAGGACACTGGGCATTTAGGCTTGCATGGGCCACACAGCAGAGTCCCAGTGGTGTAGTGGCTTACTCGTTGGGCCGTTAATCGCAAGATCAGCAGTTCAACTCCACCAGCCCCTCCTCAGGAGAAAGATGAAGCTCTCTCCTTTCGTAACGGTTACAGCCTTGGAAACCCAAGGGAGCAGTTCCCCTCTGTCTTATAAGGTCACTGTGAGGCAGAGTTGACTCGATGGCAGTGTTTCTTGTGTTTTTCCTGGATGAAACATTTAAGGTAAGGCATAAGCCTTGGGCATTCTGTTCAGGCCTTTGTTGTGTGTCTTGCCTGCAGGAGCGCTGTGACCTCTCCCTTGGTGGCTCCAAGCGTCACATGTGGCTCAGGTCTGCAAAGCTCCCGTGATTCCAATCTCGAACAAATTTCCCCTTTCTCTCAAGTGCCCACTTGCCCTTTCTCCCTTCGATGTCACTCAGAAGCAGGGCTTCGGAGACTGCGCACTGAAGACACACGGAACCACCCAACGACCCAGCTGTGGTCCACTAAGAGACGTTTCTCCTTCATAACCAGAGCGGGCAGGTGTGTGCTCAGCATTTTCTCCCGCATTACCTTAGTTATTCTGAAAGTTTTCTCATGGACACTGGAGGCGGTCTTCCCAGTTTATGACCAGGCAGCATGGCCAAGAGGGTGCCTTTCAATCTGCCTAAAGGCAAAAGGCCACCAGAACGATAACCAGGGCACAGACCACACATTGACCATGACGGCACCGGTCATAACCGTCATGCCAAGCCTGCTCAAGATCCCACCCTCTGTATTCTGTGTGGAGCATCCCACATCCCAGGTAGGCTCCATTCCAAGAGGAAGTCGTAATGTTCGACAGACGAGGCAAACAGGCGTCCAGGGTTCACTGATTCTACAGCTAGCACTCTGTCGTCTGAGGTAGACCAGCGCTCTTGCGCTTCTCCTCTCTTCTCTAGATGAAGCAATTAGGCAACTGTGCACATACACACACCGCCAAAGCTGCTGCAAGCTTAAGTGCCTTTTATAAGTCAGTAAATAGCTGGGGAGAGTTACTGAACATTAGCTACACAGTGCCCCTATGAAATGGGAGTCATAGTGCCCAGTTCCCAGGTCAGGAGTTAGCATCCAGGGAGGATGGGTAGTGAGGACCCAACCACCATATGGAAGTTAAGGAAAAACCCAAGTCAGAGTTCGCTATAATTTCAGGCATGAGAATCAAGTCAAGAATTTCACATCTCAACGGGAAGAGCATCTTTGCTTAAGTCAGGTCACTCCAAAGACTTGCTGCCAATGGCCTGTCCTTGCCATCTTGTGCCGGTGTCACTCCTTTGCTTGTGTGAAGTCTGAGTTTCCTTCTCCCTATGGTCCAGGAGGACCCTGGAGGATTCTGGAGCCCAGCCAGGGAGCCCTGAGCTTGCCGTGCCTCTAGAGTGGTCCCTGGGCAGCCCTGTAGGGAAGCCGGTCCTGGGTGCAGAACTCCGAGTCTCCCTCTGCACTCTTTATTTCCCACTGCTCCTGGGAAACAGACCCCCTCCGCTTACACAGTAAAAGGCCCTGAGGCAGGAAGGGCACTTTTCTTAGCTCTCATCTTTTGCTGTATTCAACTCTATTGGACATTGTATCTTCAAAACAGAACAAGAAACAGTGGGGACTGTTTTCCTTCATTCAGAAAGACACAGATAGGACCAGAGTTCCTTAGGGTTCTGGAAGGAGGAAGAGGCAGCCACCTAATTTCTTAGGACCTTGACAAATGGACAAGCCATCTTTCTCTTCTGTCATTGGGCGAACGGACGCCCATAAATACATCCCCACCTCTGTAGAGTCGGAGAAGTGACAGGCAGTATACATCTTTATTTCTCTAGCAGCACACAGAAGCAACATGGCACCCAGGGTGGACAGGATTTTGCTCTTCCCCAAGCCTGGTAGGAAGCCCCCAAACCACCCCCCACCGTCAAACTCCATGGCAGAGTTCTTTGGCTGTAAGAGGCAGAGTCCAGCCCCACGGGCGTTCTTAGCACTGATATGTAATATACAAAGGAAGACAGCCCAGAAATGAGTCATACAAATCCATAGTAAATAAATATATTTCATTTTCATCACACTGGCTGCTGCTTTGTCTCCCTCTTCTCCATGCCAACAGCCTCGAGATGGTGGGAGGGTGGCAGAGTAGGGAGGGCTGTCTGGTCACCACCTCAGAAAGTAGCCAGGTTCTGAACTGGCCGCTCCGCCCTAGGTTTGTTTATTTGTTCCCTCCCTGGAAGAAACTTGTAGGTTCCTAGATTAGAAGGGCCCAAGATGGTCTCTCTCATTTTACAGATGAGCAGCCAGAGAAGGGGTGGACAGCAAAGACCGCAGACTTGGGGGGAAGTGACAGTCCTTAAGGTCTGTCCTCTGGTTCAAGAGCCCCACCCAGGGCTGGAAAGACAAGCTTGACCTCAGATCTCTCTTCCCAGACCTCTGCTCAGGCCACCTTGCCCCATCCGGTGCCCACGCTCACACGGAGCACGCTGGGGAGAACACACAGTGCCTCTCTTGTAGTTCTGACAGCGCTTCTCATTGCCCAGGCCCAACCTGCAGCAAGATGTCTGATCTGGGCTCTGCAAAGCAGTTGCTGCCTCTGGCAGGATAGAGCCCGTGTTGTCCCCTTCCCAAAAAAGGTCTGTCCCCTTTTTTCTCATTCCCTGGAATGACCAAACAGCCTGTGGGTGTGTGCAGAACGCCCCCCCCCCCACCCCACACACGGCAGGAGTCGCACAGAGCCGGCATTTCACCATCTCTAGACTCGCAGGTAAGCTCCGGAATGATTTGTTGATCACACTGCGCTTTCCCATCCATAGCCTGCCCACACCCACCCACTCACAGCTGGCCTCCCTGCCCGGCCTCGCAGATCAGGGACACGGCGGGCCCTCCAGATGTGTTTTTCCAGACGTGTGCGGGGAGGTCTCCGCGGAGCCCCCCACAGCCAGACAATGGCCAGCACTCCTGCTTCCTAGGCCTCCGCAGGCATTGCTGAAAGGGGAGAAGCAGCTTCCCCGGCAGAGGCGATGGGCACTGCCAATATCCTGGGAAGCTAGCCTGCTGTCCTTCTGCCCACCAGCAGAAAAAGCACTAGGAAGGGGTCTGGGTGCCTTGCGTCCCGATAGATGCCAGGCTTCCTTCCAGCGTGCCGGGCAGCGCGGGCACAGGCTCGTGCACCTCCGCCCCCACCCTTGTTCCCATGGCAAAGGCGAGGAGGGATCCACTTACTGCTCGTGTTCATGGTGACGCCTTCCCTGGGTCTCTCATTCAACATGCAGGCCCCGGCGGGGTTTTAAATCTTCTGTTCTTCGGACCTGGCACATCACCTGGGGGCGAGAAGGCAGTGGGTGCCCGCTCTGTATCCTCAGGTGCGCGCCCTCCCTCCGCCGTCCTCTCGCGGACCGGGCTGTCGCCACTGGCCTGGGAGGCGGGCGCGCCGGGAGGGCGCAGGTGAGAGCGGGGCGCGGGAGGAGCAGCTGGAGGCGGAGGGAGGGCGCGCGCTCCGCTCGGCTGGCGGGGCGCTCACCGGCTCTGGGTTCTGGCAGTGCGGAGCCGAGGGGGTGTGGACCGCAGGGCGCGGGGCGGGGGCAGCGCGGGCGCCGGCTCTGCTCCAAGCGTCCCCGCCCGCCTGGGTTCGGGCTCCGTCCGGAGCGGCTACCCGGCGGGACTCACCTCTGGGCGGGCGTCGGGAGCCGGAGGCCCCTGGCCCGGCCTCTGCGGCCGGCTCATGGGTCCCGGTCCTCGCGGGGGGTCTCCGATTGCCCGGCGAGCCAAGCGCAATAGGAGAGCTCGCCATCCATGATGCGTGCTCGCGGGGGGCGGTGCGGGGAGGGGGGGCGCGGCCGCTCGCTGCTGCCGCCTGTTGGCCGCCGGCGCGTGCAGCAGGTCCCGCCCCGCCCCCTGGGCTGCCCACTGTGCCCTGGAGGGAGATTGGGGGTGCAGGGGGTCGTGGGGCGATGCAGGAAGGGCTAGAGGGTGGGTCTCCCCCTCCCTCCTCCGGCTACTGGGGTCTAAGGGCCAGAGGGTGATAGAGCCACCAAGTAATATTGAGGGGGCTGTGAAGAGAGGGCTGGCTTTGTGGGAAGACAGTTCCCTTTCCAACTTGGCTGACAAGCTTGTGGTCTGAACGTGAGCAGCTCCTGGCTGTCTCTGCCTTGAAGAATGTGAGGCTCAGCCAGGGAGACCCTGTGGTAGAGGGTTGCTCTACATTGCTAACCCTGGTTGTAGCACTTGTCTGCCTTCCCACGTGCCCTTGGTCACGAAGTCATCGTTTTCAATCGTTTATTAATACTTTACCCTTAGCTTCCTGAAAAGTCTTGTCATTCAGGTTGGTTCAAGAGCCCAAGTGCCCGGCACATAGTAGGCGTTGAGTAACGATTTGTTGACCTTCTGACCCAGGTCTTTCCGGGTTCGAACGACACACAGCGCTCAGAGTGGAAGGTCTGGGGCACCCCCGCCCTGAAACACGTCACTGACTGAGGAAAACCGCAGGTGTGTCTGGGACTTCATGACTCAGTCTCGCAGATCCACCCGTTTCTGTGTGGTCAATTAACTCTGGTCTCGAAGTGTTTGTCTTTGTACTTAGTGTGTATGGATAGGTATGTGTTATAAAATCCATATCCTCGTGGTTTTCAGTCACGCTTGATCCCATTGGGTGGAGTTTCTATAAATCTCTGAATGCTTAGCCTGTCACCTTCTGAACCTAATATATGCATGCAGAAGCACAACTTTTGAACATAGAATGTCTCTGGCTAAGCCATGTGTAGGACAGAGAAGCTGTGAGCACCCACTCCTGCAATTTGTAGAGAAGCAGACAAGGCATCAGACGGGCTGAGCTGCTTATCCGAGGACACACCATCTTGAAGCAAAACTAGACCAGCTCTCCTCATGTCTAGCTTGGGGCCCCTGTGCAGACCCAGTGCACTGGATTCTGGGATATCAGGCTAAGGCTAGGGTAGCCACTCTCTTAAAAGTAAGTAAAGCACACCTCTTAAGAAAAATACAACGCATCTAGCATCTACAAGGGGAGCGGATTCGTATGGTTCACAATACCAAGACCTGACAGCCATTAAAAGCAGCAGTCTTTAGACACACCGATAGCTCAGTGAATTTGAAACTGATTCTGATAGTTTCTTTAGGTTTGTTCCAAAGGGTGCTGGTTCTCAAAGTTTTGTTGGTTATAGTAACCTCTACCTGAGGTATCTGTAAGCACGCAGGTCCCAGGCTGCCGACTTCCTTGCTCTGCGTGTCTAACAAGAATCCCACGGGATTCACAGACCACTCTTGGCTACTGAAAAAGGTAGCAGTCACTTTGGAAACATGGGTAATCTATAAATATTTTTTAAACTTCCAAGGGGTGCTTTTTCAGATTGAGATTCCTTAATCAATCCTCAAACTGTGGGTAACTTGGTAGGTTCTCATGCTTGGGGAAAGACATTTTTGCTCCCTGGGAGAAAGTTTAGGTACATTTGCAAAGTAGCAACAGAAACTTTCAGTGAGTGTATCTCGTTTTTGCTCTCAGTGTTCCAGCAATGCCAGGGGATAGGACACGGTTAAAGAAAAGCAAGGCATCCATTCATTGCTGCATTCACTCAGCCACTGTTCAGTGAGCACCGACTTGTGCAGCACCCCCTGCTGGCTACTGGGATGCAGAGGTGAGCAAGACAAACACAGGCCCTCACCTTTGGGGCACAAATCCTTTTGGGCAGAGATTTCAGACAACATTAACCAGCAAAACATGGAGTAGGTCAGCCCAGAGGTGCCCCGATGAAAGGTCCAGGCTTACCAGTCTAGTTCCATCATGCTCCTTTTTGTAACATTTTGAAAATGGTGAATGAGATGGGGACTTTACATTTCAGATCATCAGTCTTGTGTTCAATGGGTTAAACGAACCCACACCCTCCATAGGCCCCCACTCCTTCTTGGATGTCTTTCCTCCCTCTTGTAGGTTACAATGTCTCCCCTCTCTCAGGTTAACGTCTGTAGACCCTCTACCCAGGGGTAAGCAAACTGCGCTTTGCAGCCACAATGTGGCTCTTTCAGTACATAGATGTGGCTCTGAAATAAAATCGGAAAAAAAAATGTGAAGGACAATATTCAAACAATAGTGGTTTCATTTGTTTGTAAAACTACATCTGTGGCTCTTGAATAATGCTGACATTGTTGGGAGGGACAGGCTTGGCTCTTCCATCTCAAGAGTTTGCTGACCCTTGCTGTAGTCTGCAGATTCATCTTCCTTCCCTCGATTGCCTCTAGAGTCTGTTCTCTTTGATATGAACGTCTTTGCCTTAAAAAAAATGATAGCAGTGGTCTCATGCACTATATGTCCTTTTGTGATCGACTAATTTTACTCAGCATAAGGTTCTCCAAGTCTGTCCATGCCCCGAGGGGGTTCATGGTTTCATTGATGTGCTTTAGCCATGCAGCCATCCTGTTCCATTGTGGGTCTCTATCAGCGTTTTGCTATCCGCTCTTCTTTGGGTGGGCATTTAGGTCCATCTGCTTGCCATTGTGAACAGTGCTGCAGTGACCACTAGTGTGCTTATGTCTGTTCACGCTATGCCTCTGACTTACTTAGGGCTTCTCTCCCGCAGAGGGATTGCTGGATCATACGGAATTCCTATTTCCCGCTGCTTGAGGCATCGCCATATGGTTTTCAATTCCAACACCAGCCCTGCTAGCTCCGTGACCAGGGGCACAGTGCTCAACTCTGAATCTCGAATTGCTCATCTGTAAAATGGTTCTAATGACAGTCCCTTCCTCGTGGATTTCTGTGTATGTGAAAATACTTAGCGTAAATGCATGGCTTATGAAGGCTTGATGTACCCTAATTATGCCTGTCATCCCTCCTTGATACCTGCCCTCAGTGACAAGCTTGTCATTTTCTACTTCCGTAGACCCGTCGGGCCTTTCCTCAGAGTGGTGGCCAGAGATTATGCCTCCTAATTTCCCAACAGTTGTTGTTGTTGGCTTCTGCTGATGACAGGGAGCTTAATTGACTCGTTTTTCTCGTCTTGGGTTGTTTTTAATAGATCCCGCTGGATGTTGATGAATTCCTGGGTCTTGGAGCGATCTCAACTAACTTCTGTTGGAGAAACAATCTCAATTTCCCTGCATGGTCTTAAGGATGCGAAGACAGGGGTTAAAAGAAGCCAAGGGGCCATGCCCTTGAGGATGTCCCACAGTTGTCGCCGCCTGGAAAGAGTAGGAGGAAGCTGGGGGAAGGCTTTTCTTTGGGATCAGCGGAGAAAGGCATCAGGAGAGCAGGATCCTGGCTCTGTCCTTGGGTGAGAGCGGCACGCGAACTTTGGGGCAGAGGATCTCTTTGTTTAGAAAGTTGTTTTGGACTTTGAGATCCCAGGCTGGAGATAAACACGTCCCCCTGAAAACAGGCAAATGTTCCGGAGGTTTGGAAAACCATGTGGCAAGAGCATTGAGAGGCAGTTTTTTCACCCTCTGCCAAGGGAACTTTGTGGGATGGCTCGGCCAAGGACCATCCCCTCACCCCTCACAGCCTGCTGCTGGCCACCCGCACTGCGCGTCTCTTCTCCGCCAGCACCTCCACCTCCCCACTTTCTGACCCCAGCTGGGGCTTTCTCCAGCACGCTTCACCAGCTCTCACCCCCGCCCCACCCATCACTGCTATTATTGACCAGCTCAGCCCCCAACTTTTCTTCCCAGTTTCCTTTCTCTCAGTCCTACCCTGTTCTGTCCTCCTTCCCTGCATCACATCCACCTGCCCCTCTTGTCCGTCCCAGCCCTGTCCTGTTCCCGTGTCCTCCTCTACATCTGGAAACGCAGAATTCCTATAGTCCATAAGGTGTGCGATTGATGAGAGCAGTAGTTGGGATCTAATAGTGTCCACTTGTCATTCCCATACTATTTGAATATCACGTCCAGATAAGTAAGTACTCATATTTATTTCTGAAAAATTATATACAGTTGCTAACATGACACAGATCTATGGCAGTTGAGGAGGAATTTCATGCTGTGTGTTCACATAAGACAAGACTTTGCAGAAAAAGATACAACGCGTATCTCTTTGGGAGAGCATACAACGCAGGACTTGCTGATGCTCTTGCAACCCAGGGCAACCCCATGTGGAGAGAGTCAAGGTTTTCACGGCTGTGTGTGTGACCTTGCAGAAGCAAACGGTCACGTCTTTCTCCTGAGAGCCTCTAGTGGATTTGAACCACGAACTATTTGTACTACCTGGGAACTCTTCAAAAAGTTTGTGGAAAAAATTGAACAGAAGACAATGGAGTCTCCCCACGACGTTTTCAAGGTACACACACACGAGGATCAGTACAAACGTATTGCTACAAGAGTCTAGTTTGTACGTGCACGGCTCATTGCAGGTAGCGCATGTTTCAATGTGTTTCTGCAGTCAGTGGGTGGTTGTCG